ACGGAGCGGAAGCAGCTCCTGCGGCGCAACCCTGGCATCCGCCCTGTGGGCGCACGCTGGGTGCTGACCAGCAAGGGCCAGAACGTCATGAAGGCACGTCTGGTCGCGCAGGGTTGCCAGGGGGACAAGTCGCAGATCAGGGCGGGCTCGCCTGCGGGGCCCAGGGGCGCGCTGTGCCTGACCCTGGCCGCCGCGGCCCAGAAGGACTGGGGCCTCTCCGCCTGCGACGCGATGGCGGCCTACCTGCAGTCGGGTAACATTGAGAGGCTACTGCTCCTGCGCATGCCGGCCAAGAACCCGCCGCCGGGGGCCAAGCCTGGCGAGATCGCGATGGCCACAGGCGCGATCTACGGGACGCGCGACGCTGGGAGGCAGCGGTACTTCTACGCGCAGAAGGTCTTCGCCGAGCACGGCCTCGTGGAGAGCAAGCTCGAGAACGGCCTACTACTTCTACGACGAAGGTGGGCTCGCCGCGGTGGTCCACTCACATGTCGACGACTTCCTTATCGCCCAGCGCAACAACTCCACCAAGTTGAAGACCACTATCGCATCGCTAGGGGAGAAGCTGCACCTCAAGCCGGTCGAAGGGGTCATCAAGTACTGCGGACGTGCGATTACCAAGCTCGACGACGAGTTCGGCGTGACCCAGGCCACCGCTGCCGCGCAGGTGGACTACGTCGATTTGCAGGCCCAGAAAGGCCGAGGTGCCGAGGACCGGCTCACCGCCACCGAGGTGACGAGCTATCGCCACACGCTCGGGCAGCTGCTGTGGCTAGCGGTGCAGACCCGGGTGGGCGTCGCCTGCCTGGTGAGCTTCGCAGCTCGGCGCGCCAGCATCGCCTCCGTGGCCGACGCGAAGGCGCTCAACAAGACCGTTGCCTACGTGCACTCCACCGCGAATCTCGCGATTGTGCTCAAGCGCAAGCTCGTCGACCTGAAGACGGCCATCGCCGCGTGCTTCAGCGACGCCGCGTTCGCAACCGTGGACGGCGTCAAGAGCCAATCGGGCATGGTGATGGGGCGCGCCCATCGCCCGCGCGACCTTGCCGGCGGCCGTTGCGACTTGTGCCTGCCCGTCGCCTGGCTCTCTGGCACAGTCAAGAGGTCGGTGAAGTCGACCCTCGCTGACCGAGGCCTACAACCCCAAGACGGCGCTCAAGCATATCGACGTGCTCGCCGACAAGCGCCCAGGGGAGATCTACAGCGACAGCAAGGGTCTCGTGATGCACATCGCTTCATATGTGGGCCAGTCGACCGACAAGCGGTTCCGCATCGTCGCCTCAATGATCAAGGAGGCCGTGTACCCCGACAGTGCGCTCTAGCTCAGTTGGATCCCGACCTGGGCCATGGTCGCTGACGCCTTGACAAGGACGATGGAGGTGAGCGCCCTGCTGTCGTTCTTCGGGGCCCGCAAACACACCTACGGGGCCCGGCAGCCACGCGCTGCCATCCTCGCCTCAGTCCTGTTCACCTGCCTCGGCAAGGTCAAGGGGCAGCCTACGCCTTCGCCGACTATGCCGGACTACAGCTTCTAAATCTGCCTGCTGACGTTCACGCTGGTCCTCGGCATGACTATCGGCTTCGGCATCTTCATGGCGCTCTGGGCGATCATGAGGCAGAACGACGCGATCGCCACCGAGGAGAGCGTCGCCGAGGTGAAGGCTTTGGGCGAGCATCCCGGATGGGACGGCCGCGTGCTTGGCCGGCGCCGCAACGTGCCACCAAGCATCCCAGAGTGCCGTGATCACGATGGTGACATCACGATGTCCTACGTGGACATTTTCAGCAGCGCGCAGGCATCGAGTTCAGTAGCATCGGCTGCGATTCAACTGCCTTCGCCGCCACTGTTGCCGACAGAACCACCACCTGCCAGCGCATCGCCATCACCATATACCGCAACTTCAGCACGGGGATCTGGACGATCAAGATCAGCAAGTTCGCGGGGAAGTTCGGCCCTTGCATGACCATGCGTTGTCACTGTGACGAGTTCATCGAGTTCCGTGTCAGCCACGTCAGCCAGTGTTGTATCGTGGAGCGGCTCCTCACCGACAGCGCAGCCGAATGTCATCCTCACGTGCTCGACCGGTATTTCTTGTCATGATGTTGTTATCGGCCACAACCTGCACAGTGTCTACATCACTTGCAATACCTGCAAGAAGCACGCGGCGTGGGTGCTCCGGCACTACCATTTCGGCAACCCCGATTTCACGATCTTCCCGGAGAGTGTGATGAACGATCTCATGGGCCGCTGGTGGAAGCTCACAGGCAGAGACTGCTGGCGAGGATTCGACCTGACGGACAAACCGACGAAGCCAAAAAAGGAAAAGTGAACCCCGCTTGGTTTTCGGACGGCAGGTTGGCCGATCCAGCCGGCAAGATTCTGCTGCTCAGACTTCATGCCCGGCTACTCAACGTAAGTCTGCATTGCCGCTCAGATTTCATATTCGGCTGTTCATACGTTGGTCCGCATTGCCGCTCAAATTCCATACCCGGCGAAAGATTTATGTAAGTCAGCGTTGCTGCTCAGATTTCCTACCCGGCGTAAAGATCTACACGTAATTCCGCCGATCGAAGTTTCATTCAGTGTGCGCAGTTTTTGGTGTGTGATGACGATCACACCCAGTTAGCATTCATATCTTATCTCGGTAAGATGGATATGTTTTGGGTTCTGTCGCTTCGCGATGAAACCCTTGTCATTGCTAGCTTCGTGTTTCGATTAAGCGCTGGCGGCGCTGAGAGCTGAGTAGACCTTGTATCCGTGTTGAGCCGTTTGCTCGCCTTCTGCCAGCATGCCTGGCCATCCGCCCAAGGAAGAGCCAGGCACTTGCATGCTCGGCGCTCTGATGTTTCGCGCCCTCACGCCGTGCAGGAGGAGCGTGATTCCAGAAGGCTCGCAGGCCTGCTCACCCATTTCCCGCTCTCCCGCTCTGTCATTTCACGCCCGCTCTACCGCAATTGGTGTTATTCAAACTAGGGCCCTTGGCCTTAGAGCTACGCCCTTCGCCGCGCGAGTAAGAAGATCCATCGAGTATCTTCCATATCACAAATGGGGGTGGAGCATCGCGGCGCATCGCCCATGCATCGACAATGCGAGTCCGACGGCCACGACGGCGACCACGGCGACGGACGGCGCAGGGGGGGTTCCTGCTGGTCCGGCCGAACCTCACGGACTTCGAGAACGTGAAGGATGGCAGGGGGGTCCAGGGCAGCGGCAAAGAACGAGTGGAGGATTTTGCTTCTCCTGAGTTTGAGGAGTGTGAGGAGGAGGACGAGGAAGGTGACGAGGAGGACGAGGAGGAGGAGGATTAGGACGTAGAATAAACCCAGCACGTATGCATCAACCATGCTGCAATACACCCCGCCGTCCCAAGACTCCTTTTTACCGATCGTTGCAAGTTGCAAGGAAATGCGAAAGAGCGCGCTCTGTAATCGCTTGGAGGAGGGGGGGGGGGTTGGAACCGGACCCCCCCCATTCCCGTGACGGAGGGGTGGGGTGTCGAACCCCCGCCCCTCCCTCTCCTACTTCTCTCCTCTCTCTTTCTCTCTCGTCGGCTGGCCGCGGCGGCGGGGACGACAATTTTTTTTTTCTGGGCCGACGCCGGCGCCTGTGGCGGCGGGCGGCGGCGGCGGGCTGCGTCGACGAGGACGGTGGTTGTGGTGGTGGTGGTGGCGGTGGTGGTGGTGGGTTGTGTTGGTGGTGGCGGTAGTGTTGGCGGTGGTGGTGGTTGTGGTGCTGGTGGTGGTGGCGGTGGTTGTGGTGGTGGTGTGGTGGTGGTGTGGCGGTTTGTGGTGGTGGTGGTGGGTCGTGCTGCTGGTAGTGGTGGTGGTTGTGGCGGTGGTGGTGTGGTGGTGCGTTGTGGTGGTGGTGGTTGTGGTGGTTGTGGTGGTGGCGGTGGTTTGTTGAGGTTCTGTTGGTGGTGGTGATGGCGGCGGTGGTGGTGGTGGTTTGTGGTTTGTGGTGGTGGTGGTGGTGGTTTGTGCGGCTGGTAGTGGTGGTGGTTGTGGTGGTGGTGGTGGTGGCGGTGGCGTGGTAGATTGTGGTGGTGGTGGTGGTAGTGGCGGTGGTGGTGATGGTGGGTTGTGGTGGTGATGGTGGCTGTTGTGGTGGTGGTGATGGTTATGTGGTGGGTTGGTGGTGGTGGTGGTGGTGGGTTGAGGCAGTGGTGGTGGTGGTGGTGGTAGTAGTGGTGGTTATCGTCGCTGCGTCCCCGCCGTCGCCGGCGCCAGCGCTGGCGCTGCTGGCCGCCGCCAGCGCCAGCGCCGGCGCCAGGGGTGGGGGGGGTTGAACCACCCCCCTTTCGGGGCGCCAGGGGGGGGGAAGTTTGACCCCCCCCCCTGGACTGCCTCTGTTCATCGTCGCTGCGTCCCCGCCGTCGGCGCTGCTGGCGGCCGTTGGCGCTGGCGCCGGGGTGGGGGGGAGGAGGAGGTTCAAACCCCCCCCCCACCTTGGGAGGGAGGGGGTCGGGAGGGGGGGGTCGGGAGGGGGGAGTGTTGGGGGGGAGAGGGGTCCCCCCGGTTTTGATCGACGGCGCCGCCGCGTGTTGGGGGGGCCCCCCCCCGGTTCGAAACGTGCCGCCGACTGTTCGCAAAGCAAGCGCCCGCGAAACGCGTTCTTTCGGAGATAAGTATCCAGCTGCCTGGGCAAATCCCGCCGCAGTGCCTGTGCAACAGCGCTGCAGGCAGGAGACAGAGTGTATGAACAGCGCATGTCCGACAAGTGGTATGAGATGGACGGGTCGTGACCTCGACCTCGCTTTCGTCTGCGCGGTTGGAAGGAGGTGGGGTTTACACCCCGCGGAAGTTGTGCGTCTGGTCTGAACTTGGGAGGGTCGTGATCCCGACATCGTCTTTGTTCGCGCGGTAGGGAGGAGGAGGAGGAGGAGGAGGAGGAGGAGGAGGAGAAGGAGAAATAACAAAAGGAGGAGGAGGAAGAAAACGAGGAGGAGGACGAGGAGGAGGAGGAGGAGGAGGGTGAGGAGGACGAGCAGAAAAGGAGGACGAGGAGGAGAAAGCTTCTTGGGGCCCTCTTGGGACTTCCTGGGGCCTGCTGGGAACCACCTGAAAGGCCTCTTGGGGGCCTCTTCGGGGCCTCGTGCCCACGTCGTCAGGGCCGCATCTTGTTGCGCGGGGGCTCAGAGAGCCCACGTCCGTGGGGGCAGCGCAGGCCCTCACGCGCGAGGGCGATTGGCAGCCCGGCTTGGGCTGGAAGAGCTCGCACATCGGGTACTGGTACGGCGGCATAGGCGCGCCGGCAGCCCACCTCGGCGGCCCGCAGGGGGGGCATCATCGTCGTCGCCGCCGTCGACAACAATCATCGTGGAGGTCGTCGTCGTCGTCGATGTTTCTGGATGCTTCGGTTGCCTCGGCTGGGCACGGCTCGGATACCCGGGAGGGGTCCGTGGACTGCTTCTGAGCGTGTGTTGGGTCGAGGGGCAGTGCGAGGTGGGCGGTCATGTCGGTGGGCAGGGGGGCATCTCAGAGCCCCCCCCTGCGTCTCCAGGAGCCCCTCCACAGGCCTCAGACGCTTTCTTTCCAAGGTTAAGTCGGACCTGTCCCTCTACAGGAGGAGTATTCAAAAATAGTCCAAAAATAGTATGGGGACTATTTTGTTAGTATTATTTGACCATTTGGGAATATTTGTATCAGTTTTTTTCGTCGAAAATCCCCCTGTAGGGGGACACGCCTGACTTAATTCTAAGGGCTCCCTGCCTTTTTCAAAGGTCGCCCCCGCTCGCCCCACCCACCTTTTCCGCGCCGCCGATCGTCACTGCTCGTTGCGGGGTCGTCGCTGTGTCGTCCCTCTCTTGGGAGGATGAGAAGTTGAATGAGGGTATGCCCACGGTATTGCTTCAGAGTATTCGTAGTGGCTGTGTCAATGGGGTGCGCAGGCATTTACTTGATTATTATTGATCGATGGTTTGTAAATGATATTGTGCCCAGCTTCAAATGATGTGGCACTTAGTTTTTCGCGCCGTGCCGTTAGTGGATCGTCATCTGTCTTGAACGGGCATGATCTGTGTCAGTCTCGGTTGCGACGGTCGCAATGTGAAGTTTGGTCCCCTTCTCTGATAGACGAAGGCCCTGATGGCCTTCTGCAGTATCCCAGTGGCTGTCGCGAATTCGCCGCCTCCCGAATGTCGCGTCTCGACTGCCTCGAGAGAACTTGCGGGGGGGCCCTGGCAGCATACGCTGCCAGCAGCTCTTCAACGGGCGTTTCAGATCTTCTTCCACATGTTATGGCGCCTCCGCTGCTCAGTCGTGTCGACGTGATGGCTTAGGTGCAGTCATCGCTCTTTCGAGCTGCACGTGGGTCGGCAAGGTTACTTTGTTTTCTGGTGCGTGAGGGCGGGTCCAGCTCGTTTGCACGATGTGTGTTGCCGGCTGGCACTCCGCGGCGCCGCCGCTCTTGGGCGGGTACCTGCCCTGAAGTCAGGAGGTCGTCTGCCTCGGAAACTGGAACATGAACATTACCAGTGGCGGGCTGTTTTTCAATCCCGGGACTTCTTGAGGGTCAAGGACGACGCTGGGGTGGTGTGGTGTATTTTTTTTCCCCGATGTCGCGGGAAGGCAACGAAACATGTATACACCAGGGTCCCGTATACATCAGGACCCGCTCTCCGGTGCAAACTCCAACGCAGGGCCGGAAGAAGCGTCGGTGTATAGAGTTCGGCTCCCTACATAATGCCGCACACAAGAAGTGAGGAGCCCTCTTGGGGCGTATTGGTGCCCTATCTGTCGGGCAATGCTGGGGCTTATTGGAGGTGTCTCGGGGCTCTGGGCGGCCGCCTCGGGCCACCTTGGGGGGTATCTGCGGAATTTCCAGGGCATCTTCGGGCCTCGTTGAGCCATTCTGGCAGATGGTTGGGTGGCTTGCTTTCACATGTCACGCAGTGGCGAAGCGTCCTTGCTCGCCTACAGGCCTACCAAACAATGTTCTAAGAATCTTGTGTTGTTTCCACGAAATGTTCTTTATAACATTTCTGGCTGGGACTGTCTTGTTTCAATCCATGGGGTTTATGTTCTAAGAATATTGAATTGACCTTGGAACATTTTAAGGTTCTAAGAACATGTCGTGGTAGGACTATAGGAATGCCGGGACGGCCGGTCCCTGCTCAACTCTTGGGGCATATTGGGGCCCTAGTTGTCGGGCAACGTTAGGGCTTATTGGAGGCGTCTCGGGGCATTGGGAGGCCGCCTCGGACCACCTGGGGGTACCTCTGGCATTCCCAGGGCATCTTGGGGTTGTGGCAGCTGTGGAGGAAGATCAATGGAGAGGAAGCATGTTGCCAGATAATTGCCAGATGTCTAGAACAGGTGTTAAAACTGTTTTGTACATTTTAAACGCATGTTTCAAACATTCCCAGTGCATGTTTCCAACTTCTTTCGCACATGTTTAATTCGATGATCGGACTGTTGGGGTGTCCATTGTCGTGGCATCCACAATCTTCGGGCCTCGTTGAGCTATTCTGGCAGATGGTCGGTTGGCTTGCTTTCACATCCTGGCGCCCCCAGAGCCAGAGAGGTGGTGCGGATCCAGAGCCCCCTCCTGACGACAGCTATGAATGCCTATGGTTCCGTCCCCTCCCCCGCGACATCGTCGCCCAACGGGGCCTTGGCCAGTCCCGGAGTTTCTTTTCGGTCTCGGCATTTGGCGAGCGTTTTCGAACATTTGAGCCTCTCGAAAACGGTATGGGGCGAGACACCAGTAACGGGGACGGAGTCGATTGTTCTTTGTTGGACTGATTCCGCGGGTTGTTGGACTGATTCCGCGGGGTCGAGGGCCGCTCAGACAGAGGACATAGTGCTGCTGATGTTTCAATAAGGCGATCGTATGGAGATCAGGCTTGCCAGTCGTAGTGCAGAGGCGACGCATGTCAGTACTTCGTAGCTGACTGACTGCTTCTTGTTCTCATCAATGGTATTTCTAGCGAGGAGAACACGCCTCACACACGTAGCTTTCCGGGTGTGCTGTCTGAGTATCAAGTCTTGGTGCAAACGATTATTGTTTGAAGTGTGTATATTGGCTATGTAGAGGAGCGTCTCACCGGAATCCGCTTAGCTTGCACAATACACTGTGACGGACTCAACTCAGTTCTCCTAGGCGGCTCTGACGCGATCGCTGGAGGTCGCAATCTTTGCACAATTTTTTCTATTGTCAGTTCGTGACGCCTCGCAGTTTCGGCCGCCCTCCGGGCCCCCCCCACCACCAGCTTGGTATTCGGCGTTTTTTCGGCGGTGCTGCTCAGCTGGCAACACACGCCGTTGGCGCAGCTTGGGCTTGGCGCCCCACTGGGGACGGCCCATTGTTTACCACGTCTGGCCGCCACAGCGCGTAACACAAAATTCCCTGGCATTTTGCCGCAGGGCTGCACGTTGCTTGAGCTTCCCAGGGCGTTCCAATTCAGCCAGCCAGCCCCCGCTGCTGCTGCCCCAGCTGCCGCGGTTGTGAGCTGTGAGCTGGCCCGGCCGGCTCGTGCTGCGCCCTGTAGCTAATTAGGCTTGGTCGTCGGCCCGGACATCCTGCTCGCCGCCTGCGCTCTTCGCTCGCGGCCGCGACCAAAAAAGTATCCCCACGGGCCTTCGGCTACTGCCACCCTGGGAGTTGCAGCCTGCCAGTGCGCTCGCCTCCTGGCGTCAATTCTTTGGCCGACGGTCCTTCGGACCACCCTTGTTTTCGCGCTCCCGCCGACTTCCGGGGCCTCGCCATTGCATTTCTCATTATTACCTCGTCCGGCGGTTCGTTGGCCACGGCCACCCCGGTGCCCACGCAGCTGCTCGAGGTTCGGTCTCCTCCCTGGTCGTCGCTTGTATCCCGACTTCCTGGTGCTTTCGGCGCCCTGCATATTTGCACGCTGGCAGTTCGATTCAGTTTCAGTTCCTCCTGCCACCCGCCCGCCGCCGGGCCGCCGCGTGAGGCCTCGGCTTGCCTCGTTCGTTGTAGCCTTTTCGTGCCGCCTTTGCCTAATTAGTCTCTGCGTAGCCCGCTTTGACCTGACTCGCCGCTGGCGCGCTCGCCCGCGGCCGCTGACTAAAAAGTATCCCCACGGGCCCTTAGCTTGCAATGCGTTCGACTCGTCTTCGTGCGCTCGCGTACCAACCAAAGTATCCCCACGGGCCCATCCATAACCGATCCGCAGGCGAGTTGCCCTGACCTGGGGAGGAAGTCAACGATAACGGCCTCCGCGGACGCTCCGCTCTGGAAGCCTCTTGGATTCGTCTTGGAGCCATCCTCGGCCCCTTCTAGGGCTGTTTTGGGAACCTTCGGGGCCCCCTGAGGGCCACCTTGAAGGACACATATGATACGCATATCATAACCAAGGGCATTACTAATTCTTGACGCCTCGCGTATCCCCGCCAGCCCATCCAAATAACAACCGCCTTGGAAGTGTGGTATCGGTGGTCTCTTCGAGCCATCTTGGGTCTCCCTTGAGGTCTTCGCGGAGCCACCTGGGACACTCTTTGGGTCCCTCTTGGGGCTCATTTGGGGTGTTTGTTTTGGCGGGTTTGGGGGGCCTCTTGAAACAATTTTGGGCTCGCTGTTCAAAACGAGGGAGCGGCGTACATTCAGGCCCCGCCCTCGGAAGCTCACACATGTCGCCTTCGGACCGTTTTGTGGCGCTCTTGGGTCGTTATTGTGCGTTCGTGTGGTTCTTGGGGCTCTCTTGGGCCATCTTGGGGCGATCTGACATCTTGGGGCTACCTTGAGGCTTCCGAGGCTCATCGGAAACGAAAAGGCGAAAAGGTACAAATCATCAAGTGTCCTTGGTTTTGGAACTATGTTTGCCTTTTTTGGGGGGGGGCGCCCAAGGGCTCGGAAGGCATTTGAAACCGTTTTGGGGCCGTATTGAGGTTTCTTGGATGTGCGTCGGAAGCTACCTTGAGCCATCTTGAGCTAACTTGGGCAATATTGGAGACCATCTTGGGTTCCCGGAGGCTCTCCTGGAGCAATCTCAGGCGATCTTCGGGGCTCTAACGTTTCGCGCCCCCCCCCATCCCAGACCCGGGGGAGGGGGTAGGGCGAGGGGTCAAGACGCCCTCCCCGCCCGCAAGCCGTCTCGCTCATTCCCGCCCGCCCTCCCAACACATACGTAGCACCCGAGCGTGTCCCGAACCGCAGCACATTCAGCCGCCGCCGCCGCCGCCTCCACCGCCCGCCGCCGCCGTTGTGCCGCCGCCGCCGCCGCCACTGTCCGCCGCCGCCGCTCCGTTCCGTTCGCCGCCGCCGCCGCCGCTGCAGCCGCCGCCGCCCCTGCTGCCGAATTGCCGCCGCCGCAGCCGCTGCCGCCGCAGCCGCTGCCGCCACCGCTGCCGCCGCCGCCGCCGCCGCCGCCGCCGCCACCGCCGCAGCCGCCGCAACCGCTGCCCCCGCCGCAGCCGCCGCAGCCGCCGCCGCCGCCGCCAAGTGTACTCTGTATCGTTTTGTTGATAGGGATGGTGGGGGGAGACCGCATCGGGTTTGCTGCGCATGCTCCGAATTTGGAGGCAGATTTTTTTTTTTGTTTTACAGGGGTTGGTGGGGGGGGGCTCTCATTGGTTCGGGTTGGCTCCCGGTCGCCTGGGGGAGGGGGTGTATACGAATGGGGAACAGTGATCAAGAAACCTCCTAGATAACAAGTTGTCTAGTTCACTCCCACCCGCCCTCCCAACACACAAGTCCCACCCGACCCTGGGCATGTTCAGTGGTCGTCTTTGGATGGGCCGCTACTGGGAACCAACACCGACCCCATGTGCGCGACGCTGGGGCGAGGTGCGCCACGCGTGCCAGGCGCGGCACGCGCGCCAGGCACCCGTGGCGCCCGAGCGTGCCAGGCACGGCAAATGGGCCACATGCTCTGCGTGCGCCAGGTGTGCCGCATATTCCAGCCTCGCCATGTGCGCCACGTTCGGGGCACGTGCAAAGTGTGTGAGGTGCGCTTGCGCACGTGACAGCACACATCGGGAAACATGTCGGCCCCCACCATCCTTGTCGAAAACCAATGCTCATCATTGTGTGTGGTGGGGTGGCCGCGAGATGCATTTTTTGTTTGTTACGGGTGATAGCTCTGCGCGCAGCACGCAATATGCTGACACCCCCGCCGTCCCTGCCAAAAACAGTAGAAAATGCTCGCGGGCCTCACGAATATGATTCAAGATGTTGCACCAAAGTGTATTTTGTATTTTTTTAACAGCTATGCTGGGGGGGCGCATCGGGTTGGCCGCGCATGTTCCAAATGTGGAAGCAAAGTGCGTTTTGTATGGTTTTTGGATAGGGATACTGGGGGCGGCCTGCATGGTTCCTGATTGGCGCCGGTCGCCTGGGGGAGGGGGTGTACATTGATTGGGAACAGTGATGCGCCCGTCCCCCTGTGCAGGGGGAGATCCTTTTTTTGTAGGGTCCGGCGATCGACCGGGTTAGCGGGCCCCCCCCCCCAGGATTTTAACCTAACCGGTTGTGCAAGTCCGGGGGGGGGGCACACGGATTTCGCAGATAGCGCTGTGTTCAACGGCGCGGTGGTGTTCGCAACAGCATGCTGGTGTTTGGATGCACGTTGGGGAGACGACGACGACGACGACGACGACGACGACGACAATGACGACGACGACGACGACGACGACGACGACGACGACGGCGACGGCAGCGGCGGCGACGACGACGACGACGACAACGACGACGACGGCGACAGACGACGACAGACGACCACAGACGACGACAGACGACAGACGACGAACGACGACAACGACGACGAACACCGAAGTCTTTCATGGGCATCTGGAGGTGCACGTGCGCAGCGCGTTCACATGCATTGCGTTGTGCACAGGTAGCGAGGCGATTTGGTACGCGCATCTGCTGTTGTTGCAGCAGGATTTGTTGTGCACACAAGCGTTACAATGCACGCGAACATACGTGCACGCAGATCGCGCGGTGCACTTTGGCATCGTGATGCGCCCAGGCAATATGGTGAAGACGGGTTTTGTCGTGTGCGCAGCTGTTGCTGCAACGTCAGATATCATTAACGCAGGCATCCCAGGCATGGTGGTGTACAGAAGCACTGGTGCACGGTCAGTGCGGTGTGCCACACTTGTGGTGTACACAGGCGCTGCGGTGTACATATCCGCTGCTGCGCACGCATTCGCTATGGTGTACACAGGCGTTGGAGGCAACCAAAAAAACGGGACCGTTCTCTGCGCAAGAAAAATAGTAATCACAATTAGCTTACATTTTATTTGATATGTTCAGATCCCCCACAATAGTCTGGAGTTCTGTCCCGCCGGGGACCCTGGAAGTGTACGCAGTTTTGTGGTGTACACAAATATTCTGGTGCACCGGAACTGTGGTGCACAAGTATGGCGCTGAAGCAGTAACAGGGGTGCACATAAACGTCGTCGTGTTCACAGGCAGTGTGTGTGTGTGTGTGTGTGTGTGGTGTACACACGCGCTGCGGTGCACACGGCTGCTGTCGCGTACACAGGCGTTGTGGTGTACACAAGCGTTGTTTTGTAGACAGACGCTGCGGTGTACACAAGCAGCTGTGATGTGCAAAGGCGTGGTGGTGTACAATGCCAGGCACTGTGGTGTACACAAACATGGTCGGCCCAAAATGGATAGGGACGTACCTTGGGCCAGTCAAATCAATAATCACCATTTGCTTACATACTGAATTTGATAAGTTCGGGCCCCCCGGGGTTTTCCAGATTTGGGCCCCGGCGGGACCTTGGAGGTGCACGGAAGCGGTGTTGCGCAAATGTTCGCCATGCGATGCGGGGCATGCCGATCCTGTGACAAGCGCCGCGGTGTACACAGGCGTTGTGGTGCACGCGGCTGCTGACGTGTACACAGGCATTGTGGTGTACACAGGCACTGTTGTCTAGACAGGCGCTGCGGTGTACACAAGCAGCTGTGATGTTCAAAGACGTCGTGGTGTACAAAGACGGGGACTGTGGTGTACACAAACGTGGTCGGCCCAAAATGGATAGGGACGTACCCTGGGCCAAAAACATCAATGATCATCATTTACTTGAAGACTGAATTTGATACGGTCGGCCCCCCGGGGATTTTCCAGATTTGGGCCCCGACGGGACCTTGAAGGTGCACGGAAGCGGTGTGGCGCAAAAATGTTCGCCATACGCTGTGGTGCATGCGGATCGTGTGGAGTACACAGGCATCAGGGTGTACACAGGCGCTGTGGTGCACGCAGAAGCCTTTGCTGCAGCTGCACCTGTGGTGTGCAAGACCGTTGTGGAGCACGCATTGTTTTGTAGTGCTCACAGTCATTGTGGTGCACGCGTGTTTTATACATAGTGTACACAAGACTTCGCGGCTACGCTCAGCAATCACATCCCGCGTATTCCAATGCGAGCTGTGCAGACATCCCTAGGCATTCTCAGACGGCGCCCGCATCGTCGCAGCAACAATAGTAGCATCGTGGCAGCATCGCAAGCAGCTGTAGGGGCCGCAGCACCGGTGCGCGTGGGCATATGCAGGGCTGCCCATAGCGCGAAGGTTGTGTTATCGGCCGGCTCCCCCCCACCCCAGATAACCTGGATTATCGCCGATTCAAAAACATGTCTATACAGATGGCGCTCGCGACCCCTGGAGGGCGCTAGTGACCGATGGAAGGCGCTCGTGATCCCTTGGCGGGCGCCCGTGACCCCTGGAGAGTGATCCACCGTGGAGGGCGCTCATCCATGGATTGAGTCCATCCCAACCCTGGAGGGCGCTCGAGACGCTTGGAGGTCGCTTTGCACGGGAGGGCGCTCAACGTCTGGAGGTCGTTGGACCGCTCTCTCGAGCAGCGGGCTGAACCCTTGAGCGTGGGCCCAGTTGCCGAGACAGCCCCAGAGGCTCCGAAGAGTCCTCCTCCTCCTCCTCCTGCTTCGGTAGAGGCCTAAGAGGAGCCATCGGGCCCCCGAGCCAGCCAGCAAGGGCCCCGGAGGCTCCTGGAGGCCCCAACTGTCACCACCAAGCGCCCAACCGGCACGCGAGAGGCATCCCAGAGGCCGCGAAAGGGCCCCTGAGAGGCCTCCAACAAAAGGGCCCACCACAGGCCAGGAACAAGCTGTCCTGAGCGGGAAGGGGAAATCTTACATCGTTCAGTAGGGGGATAGGTAACCCTCTGCCAAGAGGGAAGGACGCAGCAGCAGCAGCAGCAACATCACAGGCCGGGTCCAGCCAAAAAGATGCCCCGTGAACGGGCAGGGCGCGAACTGGAAACAATCTGTGCAAATTGCATGCGTAAGGTAAAAAGCACGTGCGACGAGTGAGCAACTTTGTGTCACTTTGCAGTGGGTGGGCGATCCTCTTTTGCAGTGGGGTCTGAGTAGATGGGGTCGGAGGATCGCGCCGCATCGCCGATGTATCGCCGCTGCAGCTCTATGTGGAACCCAAGTTTCTCCACGCTGAAGTCGCCGATGCGTCGCATCGCTGATGCAACGGCGTTGCGGCGCGATACTTCGACCCCATCTGCTCGGACCCCATCTGTTAAGTCGGGTTTTTCCTTTGAATATTCAAACAAAAATAAAAAATAGTCTGGGGACGATTGTTTGACTATTTTTGATCATTTGCAGTGTATTTTTTGTGTATTTTTCATGTTTCGCCCAAATCCCCCTGTAGGGGGACAGGCCAAACCTAACCCATCTGGGAGGCCTCCGTTCTCGCGCCCTGAATGTTGGGCGACCCTGGAGGCCTGGGTGCGCTGCGGCGGGAGAGCCTCAAGAGGGAACAAAAGCACACAGGCACAATTCATCGTCGACTCCAAGGACAATATGCGAAAAGATGGGAGGTGGGGGGGAAGACGAAACTCCAGGAAACATGGAAAAATATTGGGAATCCTGTTTTTTGTGTATTTATGTGTGTGTGTCCCAGGGCCCCTTCAGAGCCCCCCCCTCGCGCGCCTCGCGCCCCCTGCTCGAGCGCGGGGGGCGGCGGCCTACTTCAACAAGGACGCCGTCAAGGACATGCCGCCAATCCAGCCCGAGCACAGGCGGGGGGGCCCTCGGGCGCGGGGGTGCGGCGCCTCTCTTGTCGGAGGTTGGCAGACCTCCTACCCTGACACGTCGATTGAGGAATTGGCCGTTTTCGGTTCGCGAGAGGGCGTCGCGGCCGTCATTTCTGCGGGTCCGGGTCCGTCGGTTTCGGTCCCAGGCCGTTTTCCTTAAGGGGAGGTTTACTAAAGGGAGGTTTGTCCAACGCCTCTTCGGCTGGCCTAAGGTTGTGGAAGTCGACTAATGGAGAGGAAGCGTGCTGCCAAATAATTGCCAGTAGATGTCTAAAAGGTGTTACAAACATGTTCTACACATGTAAATCATGTTTGAAACGTTTTTAGGACATGTCTTACACATTTTGAACACAGGCTTAATTCGATGGTGGGATTGTTAGAGTGCCCGCGTGGTCCTGGCACTCGGGGCGTTCCCCCAGGACGCGTTTCGAGCGACTGGGGCCTCCAAGGCCCCAGGGCCATGCGGTGACTGACCGCGTGGCCACATATTGGTCTCTGTGGATGGCGAGGTCTCCGCGCGGTCTGTCGCCACGCGGCTGTGTCTGACCCCTACAAGGTCAGGGCAGACCGCGCCCGCTTCCTTTGCTGCGCGCTCAGCGGCCTGGCCTCGCGCGCTTGCAGCGGCGGCGCCTCTCAAGGGTGCCCGCTCCCCGTGCTGCCTCTTCCGATTCCGCGGCCTGGCTGCTGCGCACCTGGCGGTGCAAACTTGCCCCTCGATCGAAGAACAGCAAGCACACACTCGGATGCAACTCCTGGGAGGTCAAATTCTGATTTTGCACTGGTCCGAGATCCGGCTTAATCCCGCTTAATCCCGCTTAATCCGAGGCCCATTCCGGCGTAACAGCTCCCAAGTGGGGCTTAATCCTCCTTGCTCTTTCCGACGAAAATATCCCAGTAGTTGCCTCCTAACATACACGTACTTGTTCTGTGAGCGCTGCCCTTGATACGCTTCGCGCGCCAGGGGGAGTTCCAGCGCCGATATAAGAAATCAACGCGAACCTCCGACAACGTATGTTTATTATACAGTTGTCTTTCTTCTTTCAGTCGAGGCGCAATGTGAGAGCCCGGCCGAGTGCATCACGCGGAAAAGCGCGCGAGTGAGACGGTGGATATTACAATAACGCCTTGAGTATCTTGTCCAGCTAGTGACGGCCACTTCCTGCTCGCCTGCTGCACTGCCGTCTGTGCAGAACCTCGGCGGCGTGATTTCTCTAGCCCGTGGTCTCCACAGCTCTCGATCCATCACCGGTCTTTCGCTTCAGGTCGTCTCTTGATGGTACTGGGTCGGACGCGGCCCCTTGTCCGAGGCAGGGATGTAACCACAACAACCGCCTAATCATTCCCCTCACGCTAGGGTCCCACGACATAGGTTCTCCAGGCTGTGGATACGGATAATGCCTCGCCCCACACCTTGAGTCTGAAATCAAGGCAAACCGCCAGCACGATATGCATGAAGCGCCACATCGGATGTCTTGAGGGTTGGACGCCCGGTTGGAGGGCAGCGAGCTGGGGGCGGCGGGTTAAGGGTGGGACGCCATGGGCGTGGGGAGGGGCGTCCAGCGAGATCCACGCGGACCTCAAACAGCCCCTATTAGTTCATTTCCCGCAAATATAAGTGGTGTTCTTTTTCTCTCTCCACACCCGCGTCGCACCCGAGTCGAATATTTGGACAAATACCTGGAACGATAATGGATCTGCGCGCAGCGAGCGCGCAAGATCTGATAGTGCACCGAATTAGACATCTATCAGCACGCGGCGGAAGCTGGAACAATGTTGGGCTGTGGCGACATCAAATATCAGTTGATTTTTTTGTTGTACGGCTTGGCTGAGCAGATTCCATTGTCTCCCTTGCGTTGCAGGCCTGCACCCGCCCCGAAGACTCTGGCCGCCCAGTGGGCTCTCTGAGTATGGAGACAAGCTTGAAGAAGGAGCGATAACGACGTGTCACGATTCGGGCCGGATTCGGGTAAGGCGACCCGGTTAGTAGTAGGGCCCCGGAGCCCCTAAATGGGCCAGAATTCGGGAGCCTCGGGACGGGGGTCAATGCAAACGGGGGTCAGCCAGGGCGCCAGATCCTGCAGGATCCTGCGAAGACCCCCTCTGGCTGACCCGGGTTAGCGAGCCGCTCGTGGCCGCGAGGCGGCCGCGCGTATTGGCTGACCCGGGTTTGCGAAGATCTGCGTTGCAGTTTTTTTTCTTGCATTGCAGTTTTTGGTTTCCTGTTGACCCGGGTCTGGATTGACCCGGGTCAGAAGATCCCCGAAGAATCATTAAACCAGGTCTGCCGTAGCTGGTGTTTTTTCGGGTGACGGCAGTTCCGGTTAGAGGAACGGGGCGGGGGGGGGCGTCCCCAAGTACACATCATTAAACCAGATCCCACGAAACCCAGTTCTGCCAAGGTTCGCTCGCGTGTCGTGTCTCGTGGACCGCCCGCATTCGGCTCAACAGACGGAAGTGGCTACCGTCATTCGACCTGGGTTCTGCGCGGGTCCTCCCGTCGCCACAGCGCAGGCGTGGCGCTCGGTGCTCGCGAGAGCTGACGTGCGCCGATGATGATCGACGGTGTGTCCGAGGCCAGAGTGTATACACATCTGCCGCCAGGGGACGACCCCAGGAGGTAGTGGAAATGAATCTTTTTGGGCCCCCAGTGGGGGCCTGTGAATACCCATACCTGCTGCAACTGGGGGCGGCCAAGAGGGGGTGATGACTAGGAGGGGGTGGATATCATGGCCTGGGCAATGATATCTCCCCACATGTCTTGGCTCCCTCGTCTTTTTTCAACACGTGCCCACGTCCCATTCTCCTCCACGCACACGGCGTTGGCCATGACTTGCGAGCCCCTCTCCTGGACGCCTTACCTCTTGGACACCCCCGATGCCCCCTGGGGTCCCTGGACACCTGCTCCCCAGACGGAGCACGTGGTTTAGCTCGGGCCTCGGAGTGTGCGCTCGCTTTGACACGCTCTCCCCGCGCCCGCGCTCCCGTCAAGCAGTGGCGAAGCATCCTGGCTCGCCTATAGCCCTACCAAACAATGTTCTAAGAACCTTTTGTGGTTTCCACGAAATGTTCTTAGAACATCTCTGGCGAAGTCTGTTTCGTTTTTAAACACATCGGGCTTATGTTCTAAGAACATTGTTTTTGTCCTTAAAGCATGTTTGGGTTCTAAGAACATTTCGTGGTAGGACTCTGGGAATGCCGGGACGGTCGGTCCCTGCTCAATTGACACGCCCTCCCCGCGCCAGCGCTCCCGAGCGACCCTCAAACCGGAGCCGGCAGGGAGCTGCGGGAGGGCATCGCCCAGCCGTCGCTGCCCGGCTCGCGCATGAAGGCGGGCGGGGGGCGGCCGGGCCCCGGTGCAGCGCCGGTGAGGAGTGGGGCCCGGGCAGCGGCGCGTGCAGCGCGGGCGCCGCTTCTCCTTCGCACGTGGTCAGCATGCACGTGGCCAGCAGAGATCGGGGGCCCCCAAACGGGGTGGTGACCGCACCGTGCGGTGAGTCGGTGGGGATGCGGGGTCACCGCACGGTGTTGGGGCTCGGGTCGTTCTCCGAGGACGTCTCGGGCGACAGGGGCCTCTGGGGTCCCAAGACCGTGCGTTGACAGGCCGTGCGGTGAGGTCTTGGGTCTGGGGGGATTTCGAGGTCACCGCACGGTCTGTCACCGCACCGCGGCGGGGCTCCAAGAGAGAGGGTCGGAGGCCGGCTGGTCGGCCAGGGAGCCCACGAGTTCGGTGGAGGAGTTCGGCCTCCAGGCGCGCTCCAGCATACTCCATGTTGGGAAGCTGGGGCGTCCATACACCGAACCCACGGGCCCTGCTCGCCCCCCCTCCTCCTCCTCCTCCTCCTCCTCCTCCTTCTCGTTCTCGTTCTCCTCCTTCTTATCCTCGTCCTCCTCCTCCTCCTCTCCCTCTTCCTCCTCCTCTTCCTCCTCCTCCTGCCTCTCCTCCTCTTCCTCCAACTTATGGTGGTGGTGGTGGTGGTTGTGGAAAACAGGCCTACCACATGTTGGAAGCTGGGGCGTCTACACACCGGACCCAGGGGCCGACCAGACGGCATGACGTTGACTTCGAGCCCCTCCCAGAAGGGGGAATGGGCAAGTCTTCTGCCAGAGGCAGCAGTTGGGGGGGGATAGCCTTGCGGGGGAATGCATGCGATCATAGACCCCCCGTCGCCAATCTACGCGCGGCTTCCCTATCGGGGGCCCATCGCCGATTTAGCGGCGATGTATCGCCGAGAAAGCTTTGTCCACCCGATCGTTCCCCCCAAGGCAATCACTCATACTGTCGGCCCGAATTAGTAGGTCGACCCTGCCAGCTCAAGGGTACCCTTTTGTCCTGTGCCTTGCGACACGTGCCTTCTTACACTCCTATGGTGATGTGGCCCTCGGAAGGGTCATGTGTCCTCTCGCGTGTCCCGTCCAATCAAGGCCGACTGTAGGACGTAGGAGGCAAACGCTTTCCGTTGCTTCCTCCGGCGCCACGGCAGGACCTGCCTCGGCAAAGTCTTGGTCAGAGCGGGCCCTTTGAGAGGTCGGGAGAGGAACGGTATTGGGACCTTTCTTCGTTCCCCCAAGACAGGTCGCGTGGTGGCTTTCACAGTTTCTCTCAGGGGCAACTGTATGGGGGGATAGTCTCTGGGGGGAAGTCACGGACTTCCTCACGGACCCCCAATCGCCCGTGGATAACTGACAGGGGCCTGGTCGCCCTCTCTCCCGGGAACGTGGGGTTTCGCTGTCGGGGGCCTGTCGCCGATCCATCGGGGATGTATCGCCGGTCCCAGGATGAAGTTCCCCCCCGTGCCAGTCCCCCCTTTGCTTTCCCCTCGGTGGGGGTTTGGCACGGCTGTTATCTCTGTCGGTGTGTGAAGCTGACAGACTTGTCTTGCGACAGTCCTGCAAGCGGCAAGCGTATCCAGGCCATCGAGTTTGAGGTAGCTCGACAGTGTAGATGGTGGACCACATCATGTCGGACTCGATGGGGTGCGGTTGCCCTTGAAGAAACCACGGGCAAGCATGTCAAAAGGCTGTCCAGGCAAGGAAGTCGTCTCTTACCACATGCTGAAATAATGGTCGGCACATGTGCGCTCGTTCTTCCCCCTCTACCGTGTGCCCCAGTAGCGCCGCAGCATTCGGTTGAAAGAGCAGCCATCGCTTGTCACCCCACGCGTGCCCGAGCTGGGCGGCTCTTCGGGGTCATTTTTTGGCAGACGGGCGATGGTGCTGAAGCTTTGGGCAAAATGCGGTGCATACCTTGCCATGCCATGCAGGAGCGGCGCGCCGTGGTGCCATTTGATGTGGTGCCAGCGCAGTGGGTCTGCTCGTAGTCTCCATCCGCTTTGGTGCAATTCCTGGGAGGTTACATTCAGCATCGGCTGTAGTATCTCCGCGGCCGAAACCGACCTAATCCAGCTTAGTCCCTTCTAATCTGGCTCAAACTCAGATATCTTGGCCCATTTGGCTTCATGATCCTTCAATCTGGCTTCCTAGCCCTCAATCGTTCTTGCGAAGGCCTCCAGGAATTGCTTCCTAGCCGACCTCTTCATTCAGCCCGTGCTCCGTCCGTGTCGCGCCCTGTGCACCAGGTCTCCCGCACTGGGCCTCGAGAGTGGTCGCAGGCCGCCAGGGAGGGAGCGTGTTCCACTCGATCCCGAGGGCGTGTCCGGGGGAGGGAGGCCGTCGACAGGGACGTGTACGACGTGCTCCTCACGGACCGCCTCGCCAAGGAGCCGGCTCCTCCGCCCGCTGCCCCCTACCTTTGAATGCTGCGTTCCAGCGCCAATTCACGTCGGTATGGTTAAGCCAATCCCCATCCCCATCCCCATCCCCTTCGAGACCCCCACCAAATTGCCACCCCAGTTGGGGATACACCCCTCGAAACCCGAAGGGAACGACCTGTATCCCCATCCAGGTGTGTAAATCGGCCCGTGGGGCCCAGGCCACGCCGCTGGGCATGGGGGTCTGTGAAACGATCCTCGAACTCACGGCAGACCCGGGCAAGTGCCAAGAATGGACACGAACGACATGGGGACGAGAGCCTGTTTTTTTTATTGGATTCAGGCAAGTTTACTTGCATGGCGTTCGCCCTCCCCCCCCCCCCCTCGCCCCTCTTCAAGCGAATACTAGCGTGCAAGTGCCTTTCGACTTGCGTGATTTCCGCGCCCCCCCCCCCGGGCTTGCTTCAGGCTCAGTCCCCCCCCCCCCCGTCCATGCAAGTAAATTTGCCAGAGTCTAAAAAAAACAGGCTCCGAAACGAACGGCGACGAAGACCGATATCAGCTCCGGTTCGTTTTTTTGTCCCCAGGCCGGTGGGAGCGAGGCCTGCGCCGGCTGGTCTTCCCCTCGGGCTCCCGGGGGGTCCCTTTCTGTGAAGCTTTCTTATCTGCGGCGCGGCGCGCTCACCGCCCGACGGCACAGCGGCGGGGTGGCAGTGCTGGGCGTTGGGGCCCTCGGGCTCGCCTGCTGTCGCAGCGCCGATCTGCCACGCCTCGCTTCCATTCTGCTCGCGACGCACGCTCTGGAGCTCCCGCTCGAGGCGTCCTCGCAAAAGTCCGTGCCGTGGGTCTGGAGTCGTGGTGGCGCCCTCGCGTGCTCGGCCTGGGCGAGCAGTGTCAGCCGCCAGCCGTGCGCGCGAGGATCAGGGTGGCGGACTTGAGCCTTCAAACGCACACCCAGTCGGGACGTTTCAAACGAGAGCCACAACGGACGAAATCCTTATGGTTCCCCGGTTGGCATTCATGTGTTCAACATGCTAACGCCCACCCTCCATGTACTCGTTTGGCGGCGGCACCAACGCGGCCGCCTTTGCAAACAAATACTACCCTCACTCCGCGTGCTCGGTCGTCGGCGGGACCCAGGCGGTCGCGTTTTGAAAAAGTGGGCATGCAGGACTCGCGACGACGGCGCACGCGCCGCGCACTGGGCCAGGGGACGCAGGCCGAAAACGCACTTGCGCAGGACCAAAGGTTTTTCTTCTCGAGGCGCCAGCGGCGACAAGCGGTTGGCGAAAGAGCATCGGCGCTGACGGACGTAAGGCGTCTGGACAAGATGTTTGCAGCAGCCAAGGACGATGAGGGATGTGTTCTTGTAGGGCGCGGCCTGCGTGCGGGGAGGGTTGGTGGGGCCGTGAAACGACGCCCGACCTGTCTGTGACAGTTCGTAACCACACTTTTTCCCTCCGCATCTCAACAGCGGCGGGCTTCAATGCCACGGATCCGATTCTCGTCCGTCACTTGATTCAATTGCATAGTACAACTTTAACAGGGTGTAAGGCAGATCCGCGTAAATACAGGACGGGCATCATATCCATCGCAGCACAAATCCAAGCAACATCCAGGTCCGCACCACATTCGCTGGGTCCGCGAAGGTTTACTTAGTGCTCGCCAGCGCACGAGCTCAAGGCATCATATCCTGGCCCGAATGGGCACATTTTTCGTCCTGGGGATGTACTGCGAAAGCGAGGGAAGTGTCCCCTAAGAGTTGTGTTTTCAATGTGTTCTTGCGCTCTATGTCTCCTCCGTCCCATCCCCGAGTGGGATCAGGTATGCCGTGTGGCCGATGGGTGTTTGTTCGGTAGGTTGGTTGTTGGCCCATCATCAACACTCACGGGTTAGTGATGTGGACGTTGGCTGTGCTGATTCTGGCTCCCTATCCGCAGCATGAGCCCCAGAGAAAGCAGAACACTGCCCAAAGCCATCCAAAAACGGCCCGAGAAATATCCTACACGGGTCCGAATGTAAGCGCCCAGCCTTGGCAAGGCACAAGTCATCAAACACACATGGTTCTTGCGATATGTTTGAATTTCCCGCGGGTAGTTTGGCCCACGAGGCGTTTTTGAGGGCTCCCGGAATCCGTTCGACAGGCCGAGAGAGGCCTCCGTAAATGGCCCAAGTTGAGCCAAAGCGCGGGTTGCAAGCGTAATGAGAGCGATGTGAGGAAGCCGTTTTGGGACCCGAGAGGGGTCTGTGCCGCAGCCCGGCGGTGGAGTGGTGCAGGCCTGGGGGAGGGAGATGGGGGACACGGGGGGAGGGGCTGAAGCCTTGCAGAGAGCTTTCACAGGTAAGTCTCGCACGCGCCTTACAGAGACCGATCGGCCCAATTCAGTTTTCGCCAGAAAAGTCGAAACCAGGTCTAAGATGTAATGCAAACGTTCCGAAAATAAGGAGGATGGCCGAAGCGACGACACATTTGCCCCGATGGTTCTCTCGATGGTGGTGCCAACCGATTGGCGGTTCCGAAGGTGATCCCGATAGTTGTCCCGATGGATTGGTAATGAGAATCATCGGGTTGTAGCAAGATCGATACATAGGTTGCCTCGATGGTTGTCCAGATTGGAGTCCAGATTGTTGTTCCGTTGGCAAACGGCCCAAACTACGCCACTCAGGGCCTAAGAATCATACGAGGGGTCAGGGAACCCATGTGGTTCATCGGTGATGAATTTGTTGCAGGCCGTCAGCTACCAACGGACCAGCGATATGGACGGTGGCTCTCATGTCCTTCTATCCACAGCAGGGGGCCTGAAATTGCATAGCATCCCTAATATCAGCCGAAGACGGCCCGCAAACGGCCCTAAAGGCGCCACCAAAGGCCGAAGAGGGCCCGGAAAAGGCCCGAACAACGTCCAAGAAGGCCCCGAGGCAGCTTGGGGGGGCCTCCAGGCGGCCCAGGCGCGAACAACCCCGCGTTAGGCCGGGATCCAGGCCAGTCTGGGCCGCGCTGTGGGGCCCAAATTGAGCCCGAAGTCGGCTGAAATTGGTCGCCGAGCGCGACCCCCTGGGGAGGCGAACGTCATGAAACATCCGTGGGGTTTTGCAGTAACTTTTGAGTTTCCTGTTTGTGCGCGTCGTTGGGCCCAAGAGGCGTTCTTGAGGGCCCCAGAAGGTAGTGTTGGAGGCCAAGGCAGGGCCCCGACGGGGTCGAGATGGAGCCACCATGCGTCCAAAAAACGACTCGAGAAGGATCTGAAAATCGAACTCGTCATGGATGTCGTCTGCCACAGCTTTCAGCAGCAGGCGCCCAGATGCTTGCCACGAGGTGTGAAGGCGCCCCGCGATAGTTCAGACAGCTTCCGTGCCGCTGGCGATGGGATGCGATGCGATGGAGGCCATCTTGAAGCCGTCTCGAGGCTCGAGAAGGGCGACTGCCGCAGCCGGGCGGGGGAGTGGCGGAGGCCTCGGGGGGGCCGGTTGGGGGCGAGGGCGGGGGCGAAAGCCTTGTGGAGAGCCCTCACGGTCACATCTCATTCGGCACGAACGAAATGGGTACGAAAAGAATGGGTACAATGCCCTACAGCAGTTCTTGTTGATTTTGAACAGGACCCGCTGTCGGTGACGCCGCGGCCTGTGTCCGTTTGAGACAGACGACCGTCTGCCCAACAGCGACCTCTGTTGGTGTGGGGCAACATTTGTTGTTTGGCATTGCTGATAGGCTTTTTTTCCCACAACCACCACACCACCACCATAAGTTGGAGGGGGGAAGGAGGTGGTGGATGAGGAGGAGGAGGAAGAGGAGGAGGAGGAAGAGGAGGAGGAGGAGGAGGAGGAGGAGGAGGAGGAGGACCCCCTCCCCCTCCTACTCATAGCGGTGGTGGTGGAACACAAGCTCACCAACTGTGCTCATTTTTGTTCGTACCCCTTTCGCGCGTCCAAACTCACGCGCCCTTCAGCCCGGTGGGCGGACGGACTCGAGAGGTTTACGCTACTCCGCCGGCCCCCAGGAGAGGGGATGACGTCTGCAAGTGACTCCCTCTGGAGTTTCCTGGGGACCCTCTGGGGGCCTCCTTGGGGGGCCTCTTCGGGCCTTCGGAGGGACGCCAACAATACACCACCACCAGCCCTGGCCAGGTGCATCCTGGGCCCTCGACTGGTGTACAGACCTCCAGGCCTGGGCCAGGAGAGCCCGTACACCAGTCTGGGGCCCAGGATGGGCCTGCCCAGGGCTGGTGGTGGTGTATGGTTTGGAGCTCTCCTGGGCCTCTTGGGAGTTTCTTGGGCGCCTGCTGGCGGTCTCGGGGGCCCTCTTGGGGCGGAGGGCTCGCACTGTCGGTTCGAGTTACCGCTCTTGGGCCCCTCTTGGGGCCCTATTTGGGCTCTCTTGGTCCATCTTGGACTCCTCGTGGGCCGTCTTTGGACCCTCTTCGGCCATCATGGGTTGTGGAGGACGATCAATGGAAACATGTAAAAACATGTAAACACATGTAAAAAACATGTTTAAGGCACCTTTAGGACATGCTCCGACATTTTAAACACATGTTTAATTAGATGATAGGGTTGTTAGGGTTTCCATTGTCGTGGCATCCACAAATCATGAGGGCTTTTTGGGGCGTCTGGGAGCGATCTCTGGAGCCCCTTGATCCGTCTTGGACGCTGTCAAGACAGTCAAACGCGAACGTGCTCAACATGAATGTTTCCCCCTTGGATTTCGACGGTTCTTGCTTCTCGGGGTCCTCTCGGGGGTCGTCTTGGAGCCCTCTCTGGGCGCCTTCACTTTCGCAGGCCCGAGCGGCCATGTCCACATGCGGCCGCCCCGCTCGTTGCGGCACGTCCCTCGCACGTTTGCCTCCTCCTCCTCCTCCTCCTCCTCCTCCTCCTCCTCCCTCTCCTCCCTCTCCTCCCTCTCCCTCTCCTCCTCCTCATTCTCCCTCTGCTCCTGCTCCTCCTCCTCCTCCTCCGCCTCCTCCTGGCGGTGTCCACATGCGGCCGCCTCGACCATAACGGCCAAGCCCTGA